TTCTGCTGAGATAGCCATCTTGCTTAAGTACACCGCCGTCTCCAGAAATATGTTGTGGTTTTCGTTGAATTTACGGGCTAACTTGCTGATACCGCGCAGGTGATCGTCGCCAGCTATCTGTTGTGGTTGCCGCTGAATGTACGGCTAACCTGCCTGAATCAGTTTTGCCACCACCAACCAGTTCAACCCGCAACGAAATGAGAACGCCAAGACCAGTCAGGCCGAGGAATTCCGATTCGTATTGTATGAGAGCATAGCGCAATAAACAGGTTGTTCGCAACTACTAACATAACAACATTGGAGATGCTAATTAATGTTAATTAATGCAACTCAAACACTTCAAGTTCATGGTCCAACTTGCCGCTGATCCTACATAGTTTCGCGCTTTGATCTCTACTCGTGTTCCATCTCCAATAGTAGATTGATCCAATGTTGCGCCACGTTTCTCGGCGCTCTATGCGAGTAACTTGCTGACGAGGGAAGCCCGAAGCTAATACTGTCTCGTCTGGGCGGATTGAGAGGCGATAGGGTGCATATTCGTCCGCATATCGTTCCTACTGACCGGGAGCGCCGCAAGTGTGTCATCATCCAGCTAAAGCCGCGAACTGATGAGGGAGAAACAAACCAAGGTGTTGTAAATTTTCGGGTAATTACAGCACGATCGCGAATTCGGATAAATCGGTCGCTTACACTTCAGACTCGCCCGATACTTCTTACTACAGCCTGGGTGTAGCCTTTACCGACGTCTGCAGTCTTATGGAGAAGCGCGATGAGCTGTGCCGTTTCGTTCCTTCCGAGCGACCAGATGTAGTGGGACTCACAGGGACGGGGTTGAACGATGGGATGCTCACCCAGGAAGTTGAGCTTAGTGGCTACTCGTGCTTCCACTGTGATAGGTTATCGAATGCCCACGGTGGCGTCTTGCTCTAGATCCGGTCTTCTCTGTGTAGGAGACTCATGAGCGTCCATCGAAGCCAGGATGTTCTATGTGAGCAGTTGTGCTGCTCGATCCCTCCCAGGCGCGGAGAGTTGTTGGTGTATGCATTCTATCGCAGCCCTTGAGCGGTTGTTTGGATTGGCTGCCGCATCTCCGAGACCACATGAGTCGCCGTCAATTTCTACTCATAGTCCATTTCAATTGTCCTCGAATACGCTGGCCTGAAGTTGAACTTATCACCGGTTATTGTGAGGTCGAAGCAAAGTTTGTTGACATGGAACTTGAAACTGGGGCAGCACTGCGCATCTGCCAACCAACGCGCATAACACCGCGCTTATTTCCATCTTGCTTAGACTTGATGTTAACCAGCTGTGAACAAACTGTGTATGACATTCGGATTCTGGAACCTCTGGCAGCAAACGACCACTCAGTTCTTATTGTCAACATGGAGCTGCCACTGCAGTTAGATTACAACTCGTGGAAGACAGATTTCGACAGCCTGATTCGAGCCGCGATTCAACTGGATTGGTTTCTGCCGCAATTTGCGTAAGCTTATTGGTCAGTTATAAAGAACGGAATAAATTCATTATGTAACCAATTTGTGTCTTCCAAGTGTCGGCAAATCGGATCGGTCAAACCACATTGGTTCGACAAAGAATATGGTATGCTGGCTTGACAGCGGTGCATGCCATGGGGCAAATTCCTTACCTCTGGCCCGGATGACTGTGAGATGTATGTATATGAATGTACGTATATGAAATATCTACAACGGTGTGCAAATCAGCAAGCGCAGGCATTTCGAAGAGCAGCTTGCAACCGCAGCAAAAACCGCCCCAAATAGAATCTTTGCGTACGTGATGCGTCGCCTTAGGCCGATCAGTAACCTACCAGTGATAGTGGATCAGAACTGACAACCCCTAAACTCCAGTACTGCGCGTGCTTGCGCATTGGCGGCGCACTTTGCTTCTGTGTTTGCAGATGACCAGGTGTACCGAGTTTGGTGTGCACCACCCTTACCGAACTCGACGGTCCGGATTGTGATGTGGAAGAGGTGCGTCAGTTACTTGATAATCTTGACAGCACCAAGCCTGCTGGGCCTGACAGGCTCCACCCTCTGATTCACAAACTCTTATCAGCCATCATCTGGCCTGCCGTAACCGACTTGTTCAACAGGTCGCTGTCCGAAGGTACATTACCGATTGATTGGAAATGATCGATGGTAAGGCCGATTACGAAACCTGGTTACCCCAGCAAGGTAGACAACTACAAGCCAATTTGTTTGACACCTATTCTGGCCAGGGTTGTTGAGAAGATTGTGAAGAAACCTTTCCTACAGCTGTTTCGCTCAAATGATCTCTACCCCACGGAGCACGGTTTCACGCCAAGTCGTTCATGCATCACCAACCTGCTCGTGATGAGGCATTAATGCATGCAGGCAGTGAACCAAGGGAAGTCTGTGGACCTTATCTAAAGCAAAGCGTTTGACAAGGTGAACTATGAGGTCCTCCTTCTAAAGCTGGTTGTGTGGTGTTGGTGGATCTCTGCATCAGTAAATGCAGGACTTCCTAGTCGATAGCCACCTGACCGATTGATATCCTTTGACAAGTGGCGTACCCAAGGCAAGGTGCTGAGGCCTACATTGTTCCTGATTTATATTGACGACCCACCTCAGCTTCTTCGGTCATCGTGTGCCCTGTTTTCGGACGACCTGAAGATATGAAGAGTGATAAGCACACCCGACGACTGCGGCTTACTACAACACGACCTAAACGGTTTTTCCGTGTAGTCTGCAGAAGTCCGCCTCCCGATCAACGCATCCAAGTCGGTATTCATGAGCCTGGGAAAGGGTGGTGACGCCGAACCTACTCTCGACGGCCAGCTGCTACACCCCATATCTTTTGTGGAGGACCTAGGAGTACTCACATGTTGCGATTTGAAGTCCGTTGATAACACGAACAGGCTATATCGTAACGGACTTAGCATGCTCTGAGCACTCAAACGTAATTTCTGCATCTGGTCTGAAGAGGTTGCCACTCGCCTCTTCTCCATCATCAGACCAATGCTGGAGTATGGCTCACACACCTATTGCCCAACCACTCGCGACGAAGGGCAAAAAACTCATCTCCAGTTTGCGAAGTTTACCATACAAGGACAGGCGCGAGAGACTGGGACTGTTCACCTTGGCATACCGCTGGTTACGAGTCGACCGCATCACGACCTACCGGATTCTACATGTAAGCGACTTCCCCATGCTAAGGTCACTGCTCCACTTGCGAACGCCTTTCAGCATACGCGGACACCAATGCAAGTTTGTGGTTTCAGAAATGAATCGAGTTCCCCATCCCCTGTGCTTGGAATGGTGCGTGGTAAATGTCTGGAACGGTTTGCCGGAACGTATAGTGGAAGCGAACACACTGAAATTATTCAAACGTGAGGTGCACTTCCTAAATATTAGATTCCGTAAACGATTACCCACAGGCATCTCGCATTTTTGAGCCCTAATCTACTGTTAAACGATTTTTTAACGATATAACTTGTGAACGTGAAAAACAATCAGCCTGTTAACAATTTATTGTTTGCTTTTGTAACGTTTTCGATCATATTTCGCTGGAGTCGTACAGTGTCAAATTTCCACTTGCTCCCACTATACAGTATTCAATATGAGAATCGGTTGCATTGGTTTATATTGCCTTCCTGAATAGAGGGCTGTGGATTTCAGCATACTGCTTTACTTTGCTTGACGTATTCGATGAGCCAATCACACAGTGGTATTCGGCTGTCTACTGTAAACCCCTAGTTTTTTCGCTCCACGATCATGACTCGATTTGATTCTTATCTAATGTGCTTTTTGTTTATTCTTTTTTGATTCATTCTCCTAAATTACTGTTTTTGCCGCTTTGAGAATCATCTGCAACGTTGCTTCGCTCTCATGCAGCTACATTATCTTCAATACTAAGAAATAGAGAGAGGGAGAGCTACAGCGCATGCTAGATCTCTTAAGCACGGCTGGTTAATGCGTGGGAGTAGGTCGGCGTTAGCGAAGTGGCTTCCTAGTGGTTCTCACCACCCTGCAATCTAATCAACTTTACTCCGCAGACAACTCAACATCACATGTCACGTTGGTAACCCACTTGGAAGCTGGCGCTGGTGCCAATTTCAAGTAACCCCTCGGATCTTGGAAAGAGCCTATCCAACAGAACTCACTTATGCACAATAGCCTCAGTGTTCGTTGCTGGGTCAATGATTACCGTCTTCGACTTTTATCCGACTATGTATTCAGTGGGAAAAAGCCAGGTATTTTTCGGTGATCGATGAACAGCCTTACGTAGGATAGGCACAAATGCATTTTATTCAGTCTTCTTTGTGTGTTCAAAAAGAAGCCTTATGACCACCGAACTCTCCTTCATCTGCTCACCTCTCCGTTTTGAAAATGCAAATATTGGCCCACGTGAACAGGGGGTAATGGCCAACCCCCTGAGGGCATTTGAAATCTACACCACATGTACCAGGCCTCGCTACCGTAGAGAAGAGCAGTCCCCGTTGTACATATGCAATCAAGACCTTTATGCACAAGCGGAATCCCCCGTGGCGTCAGAGTTCGCTCATTTTCATTAGGTACTTCCATTTCTCGCTGTGCCAGTAACCTATCGAGCCGTCGTACGTCCACTGATGCAGAAACAACTGCCAACACAGTTGAATTGATAAACCAACCGCAAAGTCATTTCGTTGGTTACCTTGTAACAATTTCCAGCATTTCGACATATCAAGGCGTGCTCGGCACACAGGAAATTTGCATATCCCACGAAAGCAACCTTTCGGCTGTTTATCGAACGCGACCGAGCGAGCAATTTAGTCGACTTCACCCCTTTTTTTGATTTTCGGTATCTATTCCCACACTAAGGATTTTCGTGTCCAGGCTGTGACTTCACATTTACTTGGTTTTCTAGCAAAGGCATTCGTTAACTCCGACTCATTTTCTCATTCAAACCATTGCTCACTTCACTCCTCTCTGGTCTTCGTTGCTAACACCACTTTTATCCCCTTTTACCTCTTTGGTTGTCAGACGCCGTTAAAGTCCGAACATGTGCACTTTGTAGTTTTCTGTCTGTCTCTAATGGGCACGAACTGTCGGGATTTCATCTATGAAGCTAATCGCATTTTAAAGAACGGGTAAGTTGATGCTGTTTCCTGTGCTCTTCATGCTATGGGTTACTGACTATTCGAGATCCATCTTCATGATTTCCATCATCTCTGTGATTAGATCCTCTGTTGTCGACAGTGTCACCCTTGACCGCGTCTGCTTACATTGATCAGCAGTCCATGCGGTTACACCTATGGTTACTTATACTGGCAGTTTAGTTGTTGCTACCAAGAATGCAGTGTTCGGGCGTGTCACATGAAATTAGAATACGGGTATCACAGTAGTTTTGTTCCAGCTGCTGTCCTGCACGATAGCTCTGTCCGGACTGTGATCCACTAGGTTAGCAGCTGGATTGCAGGCCTTCTAGTTTGTCTAGGCATGTATGTCAATTCTTTTGGGAGCATACTCATCTGTAACCATGATCGTCTAAAGACTGTTCCTAACCGATCTGGTTTCACGTGAGCGGTACTGAACAGGAGTTATACCTCCTGCAATTCGAAGATGCCGTTGCAACCATTACGTTTTGTTCATTTCTTTTGTGATCCATCGCATGGATCATGCACACTATCGGATCGCCGTGCCGCTTGATTGGACATACCGAAGATATGTCTGACCGGTTATTCAATGTTTTGGGTATCATCTAGTGTCGTTTCTCTCTCCCAGGACAGTATGAGTGCAACCATTGCACATATTGTATTTGTTTGTGTTACCCTGTTTCACCGGCGCCGTTGTATGAGGGCAGAGCAAAAAGTTTCCGGCTACACAGTACACAGATTAGGTGCAGCTGACCTGACGTGAAAAACGTGAATTGTAATTCATTCTGAACAATTTCCAGTGATTTCAACTCACAGTACCGTATGTCAGCAGCCTATCATAACTCACAAGTCATACTCTGACTGTGCACATGGAACTCAGTCATTGTCATCGGACGGCGATGATTTTCTATCACTACAAATGTGGTCTAAGGTAGCACCAGAGTGATGGGTGATCGTTTGCTGCGTTTGGTGATGATATACCTCCACGAACCACCGTGTTTGAGCGGTTTGCTGAATTCAAGCGTGGCATGCATTTCCTGGATAGTGAGCCACGGTGTGGTCGGCCTGTGGAGGCCACCACCACGAACAACATTGCTGATGTGCAAGTTATAATGGAGGAGGACGCGCGGGTAACTGGTACAGCTGGAGAAAACCATCGGGCTCTCATCGAGATCAACCCGCACCAAGTTACATGAGAACCTCGTCTATAGAAAGGTTTGCGCACCTTGGGTGCCACATCAGCTCTGTGAGGACCAGAAAACAGCTCGGGTGAATTATTGCCGCACCATGCTTACCTGGTTTGCTGGTGGACGTTCAAATGCTGTTCGGGAAACCCTCAGGGGTGATGTGACCTAGCTGTACACTTTCTACTCAGAAACCAAGCAACCGTCAACTCAGTGGACGGCCGTTGGTGGGGCGCCGCCTCAGAAATTCCGGCTTGAGTACAATATGGCCATGTGGATGGTGGCTATATTCGTGGCCAAGATCGGTCATGTTGCTACTGTAGCACTCGTATGGCAAAGCACAGTCACTGGGAACTGGAATGCCACCTACTGTCTGCCACAACTGCTGGAACTTGTAGCGAGGCATCGTCCAAGGATTCGAGCACAGTGACAACGCATCTGCACACAGGTCCCTTGTCGTCGTTGATTTTCTGGCTAGCGAACGTATCCAGGAGGTTGTTCATCCACCCAACAGTTCAGACCTGGTTTCTGACTTCTTCTTGTTCCAAAATGTCAAGTGCATGATGCGTGGAATCCGCTACGGGTCTCCACAAACTGCAGTGGAGATTTTTATTGAGCTGCTTGAAGGATTACCCTCTTCGGCATGGTCTAGCTGCCTCTCCAAATGGTTTAAGCGTATGGAACTGTGCATGAACGCTGGTGGAGAGCACTACGAGAAAATGTAATCATGATGCTATTGTAAAAAATAAAACTTTTATTCATCCGGAAATTTATTGTTCTACCCTCGAAAGTTGTGCAGTGTTGCCGGATCCCCTTAATTCGTCGTGGATAGGTATCCTGTAGAATTTATCCAAGACTTGTTTTCCCTGGCATATCTCACTCGAATGAACAAGTTTCGTACCACCTTTACTCTCACTCCACTCTTCTGCTCTGCTTGTTAATGAAAACCATCATTCGTTAAGCGTGCAGCGTCCACTGAAAAGCTGGGACCAGGTCCATTGGAACTTTCTACACCTCAGTTCACCCCCTTCGATATCTTATTACTAAGTAAATAATCTTGCCTAATGCTTTTGGAGCCTCCTTATCGCTTACTGGGATTGCATTTCTGCGAGGCGCACGGTAGCCAGGTTAGCTCGTTTGTTTTCTACTTCGGAAGATCTAGCGACTGTAGAGTTTCTTACACCATTTACAGCAATCACCACACTGATCATCACAGTTTAGCTCAACTGGCACAAACCCACGGCGGCTCACCAAATATCCTAGTCTCTGGTTTACCCTTCGTTTCTTTTGACCATCTTATTTCCTCACTTTCCGACCACGTGTAATCGTATTTTGAGGTGTTTCGTTCGCTCCTATACCTCAGATGCGACAAGACCCATAATGTTTCCATACAATTCGGTCATATGGCGTCTTAATCAGTTAGATGCTAACTGATTCAGCAAGAGCGTCTATCACCTCCACTGTATCCCTCACTTTGTTCACTTTTGCTTTGTTTGCAATCGCCTTTCTAATCATTTAAGCAAGTGCATTTGCAGCAACGTTACATCTACCCATTGGGAGACTCCTGCAGGTATTAGAATCGTTCTAGTTTTCTTCTCTTTTTTGCATTTCTTGTATTTTTATTCACAGCATACATTTTTGACTTAGCAGCTAGATAGGCTATTGTTTCTCTCAAGAGCTGAATTGTGTACCAGGTACCATAACTGGTCACCTGCAAGCATTGGGACGCTAGAGCCTCTTGTGCAACGTAACAAAAATTTAGCCAGTGTATCCTCTACTAAGACTGAGGCCACCGTGGTTTTTGCGAAGATCACTGAGGCGAAGCTGCGTGATGCACGAAAGTATTTTGTAGTCAGTTGAGAGGGGCACTTTTTAAAGATGGGAATGACGGTGGACAGCGGCCAAATAACAGCCAAGGTAGTCCCTAGTTGTTTACAACCATTTTGGTTGTCTAGACTTGGCTTTTTGTTCACTTGAGCGGCACCACGTCGTATCAGATCTCGCTAACATTTGGTGTTGCTGTGTCGACATTCCTGGCACGTTCGGGTGACTCACCCACCTTTCTTGATGCACCTGCTCAATTGAATGGCTCTCTATATCGTCTATCTGTCAATCAATCAATGGAACTGAAAGAGAATCAGTTGTCCCTCACACCTATCGTCCCTGCCACGATAGCCCTTGTTAGACCTATGCGTTGAATACGTTGGCAAGGTACAGTGATTTTCCCAGGAGCTCTGAGTTTCTTCATCTCTGGCTGTCGTCACCTACCAGCATTGGAATTACACTATCGGTGATGTTTTGTCGACACTGGATAATCGCCAACTACCCATCCTTAGACTAAGGTTTTTCCTAATACCCTATCTATAGTCTTTGTCTGGATAGTCTGGTCCACATTCCACTGAGGGTGCACATCCGCATCAGTGATGTGGCAGAGCAATCCCATTGGGGAACACTTTCTACTAGCCAAATGTTGTCTCTGGGGCTTCGGAATCATTCGTGCTTGTTTCTCTGCCTTATTGAATTATACACTTACAACCACGATCAGCTGCAGATGAGCTGTGGCGACTTTGCACTCTATTGGCCAAGGTCTTCCGACTTAATGTGGGTGGCAGCAAGCTAAAGAGAGGAATGGTGATCTATTGCCGTTGAAGACAACCCCTAGCGCTCGCCCTGTTCGCCAATCGAACTTATCCTAAAACCAGTTGAATGTTGCTTTATGTGGATAAGTTTTGAAGGAAGAGGGTTGTTGACCTCTTCTCCACCTCCGATGTGTAAGATGCTGAAACTAACTTTGTCTTGCCATTGGCTATTAATCTTTCTGCTGTGGGTGGCTTTGGAAGCGCTTGTAAAGTGTCATCCAGAATATATCAATAGATCAAGATGTTAAGCAAACCGTCGCACCATTTTATGCTAAACTCTTATCGCGATGAATTCGTCCAGTTGCTTTTCTCTTTACACTGTTCTGTGTACTGAGAGGCATCAGCTCTTCCTCATTGAGATGCAAATGCGGATTGTACAGCACAAGTGCGATATTGTGGCTTCATTTAATCAATGATACATTATTTTTTACAACGTTTCGTGTATTCGCGCTCTTCATATTACGAGGGTTGTTAGGCCCTGATGCATGTTGCTTCCCTAACCTGTCGCCTCTCACGACAACTTAGGGCTGCGTACGTTTCATTCGGCCGAACATGGTTAGATCTGTTGGTTAGTTTAGGCACCTCCCATTTCCATCAAAAACATTTATTTTGCCATATTTACATGTGTAGTTGCTGAGAATCGACAAACTGCCTCCTACAACAGCTTCACAGTTGTGTTACAAAGTAATAGTGAAGAATAAATTCCACTTATTTACTGGCGAATCTTGTAATGTTGCTTTCTTAGTGACTAACTAAACACATGAATATCATCAACTCTGCCGGGCACGTACAGCGCACATCAATGTTTCGCGTGAAATGTTTTCCTGGCATGGCTGTTTGATGCAGTTGAACCCTCCAATTGGGCATCTCTTAGTATTTCACCGAATCACTAAAATGCGATTTTGTTATTGCCATGCTCCTAATCACCAACGCATTTGACTGACCTGAACTGAATGACATCTGAATGATAACTCATCACCAGTGATGTTGGCTACGACTATTGTTAATGTGTATCAACCGGTAGATACACAGTCTTTCAATAAAGCAAGAAAAAACATTTGACAGAATTTACTGAATTCAGCAATTTTGTGTATTCTCATCAGCTGTTTACATACAGTTAGTGGATAACAGTGCGATGTTAAGAGCAAAATGTTCAAACCGGTCGAAGCTCCTTAGGTTCACTTGACCCGTTCCGAGGAAAACGTAATCACTAGCCCCACCATGAAAGGGCTAGCGCGGTCACGAAATCTGTTTGCTTGCACAGATTTGGCTTCAGTCGCCGAATTGCTGCCGCCTCCGCAAGCTTGTTTCCTAACAAGCTCATCCTCGCGTACTACCGTTTGCGGAGGCGGCAGCAATTCGGTGACTGAAGCCAAATCTGCAAGCAAACTGATTTCATGACCACACTAGCCGTTCCCTGGTGAGGCTAGTGATTGCGTCTTCCTCGGAACGGGTCACGTGAACCTAAGGACCTTCGACCGCTTTGAAATTTTTTGCTCTTAACATCGCACTGTTTTCCACTAACTGTATGCAAACAGCTGATGATAATACGCGAAATTGCTGAATTCAGTAAATTCTGTTAAAATGTTGTTTCTTCTTGCTTTATTGAAATTCTTGAAGGGAAATGCCTGCATGAGATATACAGTCGTTCCAAATACAGAGTTATCAATTACTTTAGATCGATTTCGCAACCGTGCTGATATGCGGACTAGACTGCCATCTATTTTATGCCCGCATTCTCCACGACTAGTTAAGTTTACTCTGTTATTTTGATTTTAGCCATATCCGAAACTACCAGATGCGGCCTCAGTTGTCCTGCTAGTGTAGTTCTTTGCAGTGGTATTTATCCATTTGAAAACTAACCTTACCCACCTGAACACCTTGCACGGGAAAAATACTGGTTGATCGGTCATTAGCACTTCGTAACTTCGGTTCACTTTTGTCGGTCATGTTTACCAAACTTTCGGTGTTGGTGTTCAGTCAATGTCTACTTTGGAAATTAAACTGAACCTACTGGACTCCGTGCACCGGAAAATTCTTGGACGATCGGTCATGAACACCGTATTCTGTATTCACATTTGTCGATAATGTTTATCAAACTTTCGGTGTTGGCATTCTATCTATATCCACTTTGGAAGCTAGCCTGAACCACCTGGACTCCGCGCACCGGAAAATGCCTGGACGATCGATCAGTAGCACTCCGTGTCCTCGACTCACCTTTGCCGGTGATGTTTACTAGCGGTTCGTCTTTTCACGCAGTTCCTTCTAGTATTTTAGCCTACGTGTGTTGTATATTTCAGTTTTTCACTTACGCTTATCCTTTTTTATAGTCTGCTCTCTCCCATTCTGTTACAGAGGCGAGATGGTGATCGTTGATGTTGCCAGCCGTTTCGATGGGGAATTCCACACCTTCTTGCGGAAGCTGAAGTCATTTTCATTTGAAGCACAGTTTTCCGAAACTACCAAAGATACTTATTTCGTTCGAGCCCGCCTTCGAAAAGAGAAGACTTGCACTGACAAACCGATGAATTCGCTACCGACACTAAAGCTGAGCCCGTGTGTTTACAAAAAACGATGAACCGTTTCTTATGAGAAAAAAACCATGCATACCTTCCTTTGTAAATACAAACCTGCTCAATTTGCCTGTTTGTTTTTGAGCGATACGTCTCTTCTTTCCGCCTAGCTCTTCTCTATCGTTGTTTTCACAGGCCACCTATGATCGTGCGTCATGGACACGATCATCGCACACGTTCGCGACGGTAACGTGCACGAAGTGCGCATGTGGTTGGACGATATTGAGAATGACGTGAACCAGGGCGACGAACACCGTTTCAGTCTGCTTCATTGGGCAGCTCGGGAAGGTCAGCTTGCGATTGTGGACCTGCTTGTGTTGCGTGGTGCCCGAGTGAACGCTACAAACATGGGTGACGACACCGCATTGCATCTGGCTGCATCCCATGGACACATCGACGTAGTGCATTATCTGTTAAATTGTCATCATTTCAACGTGGATGCAACCAACGAGCATGGGAACACGGCTCTACACTATGCGTGCTTCTGGAACCATCTGGAAATTTCCGAGGTACTTGATTAACTCTGTCCAATATTACTCGTTATGGGCACATTCCTTTTTCGTTTCAAACCCCCTCACAAAATCCTATCTCTCTCTTCGACCAGCGCTACGTGTGTGATCCACTGTTTGAGTACGTTGTTCTCACTGCATTCCTTTGTACTTTATTCACAGTATCTGATCAAGCATGGGGCCTGCTTAATGCAAGAAAATAAATACGGCGAGACTCCACTCGAAATTGCTCGTCCGCGTGCAGCCGCCTTGTTGGCTCCACTTGCCGAGGCACTCGGGCATGATTTGTCCCATAGAAAGCCGTTCCGTGACACCAGTTGGATTGGGACCAAAACTCGTGCTCGTGATGCTACGCTTTATCGTCTGGACGCTGAATCGTGGGACCCTCGTGAAGTTGAGTTAACAGGTGCCCTGGCTGACGGCCACGGTGCTGAAGTTCTCAAAGGATCTTTTCGCCGCTGTCCTGTTGTAGTGAAAATGCTGAAACTCCGCAACTGTACCATCAGGCAGGTAAGAAGTGCGTCGTCATATGTTGTTTTTTCAAATCTTTTATCGTTGTCACTCGTCTGGCGCCTTTAGTTCGGCTGTGTGTTGCACTACTTAGGTATGGCGATGGATTATGAGTTGATTGCCACTAAATTAGTTGTGATTTTACTTCAACCTAGGATCTTTTTAATCCAACTAGTCTCACAACTACAATCCTTTAGGTAGCAAAATTGACCATCAATCGACTTGGGGAACCCCTGTTGTTGACAGTCTCCCATCAAATCAGGGTGCATTTTTAGCACTTTACAATATCAACTGCGGATGAAGCAAAAGAACATCTACAAACATGCAAAATTTATGAATGGATCCAGGAAAGAGCGCACTGAGCGCAAAGTGATAAACAGAACTCACCGGGTTTTTCCAGCCGACAGAGTTGGTTTTAGGAAGACATTTTCGCATCTATGGTTTCAACTGGCTTAAAATTTCGTGGATAAAAATCAAATCGCGAATAGTGCGTGATATCTCGGCTTAGTATACAAAATGTGGAGAATAAGATGACCTTGGTGACCCTGGAAGTACTTTGAACAAACAACACCAACATATTCCTACCAAAAAGATGTTCAATGCAATGGCGACGGTCGATTTAAACGCCCCGCCAAAGTTATGTGTTTTGTGAATCATTGTCGTCAGTTTTAACTTGGGTTTTGTAGCGTGAAATACGAGTGTATGAATGCGGATAGCTTTGCCGTTGAACCGGACCTTGTGCTAAAACTCCAGTTTTCTGAATATGCACAAATCTTTATCGCTGTTGACAGACGTGTCTATGCCCACTCCCTCGACTCATTGTGTCGGCGCTGTGTCACGAAAGGTTCCAGTCGCTCTTGTCTGAATGTCTCTTACCTTTTCGAGAACAACATACATCGCTGCAGTTTTTTCGGGTGGGTAACACCCAGTATCCGTCTGCTTCATCAGCTACGATCCTAGTGATCGAATTGACCAAGTTTTATTTCAATGTGAATTGCAGTCCATATATTTTTCGACAAACATGCCTGGACATTAAGTAAATTCGCCTAGATTGCACAAATGTCCTGGTGTAATATTGAAACAGTAATGAAATAAGATGAAAAGAAATGATCCGAATCGCTCGTGAATGAGTGCGTGTCCGATGTTAGTATGATATGTTTGGTGACATCGTGCCCCATATATAGGTGTCGTACATTTTAATGAACCCTCTCATTATAGACACACACAATCTGGATATGTCAAGTTTGGTGAGCCCCATTGCCGAGATATGCTTGGCGGTGGATGGGAATATATGACCCTGGTTGTTGATGATTATCGCATGATGCATGCTATTTAGTGCCGCAAGAAATTCCGAGCGCATAAAGCGGGCTATGGCTTCTGCATAAGCACCTACACCGTATTTGTCAATTTTTAGTTGATAGCTACGGGTCATTCTCTAAGTGTCGCATATATGCACGTCCATCACCTCTGCAGGGGGAGTTTTTACTGTCGATTAAATCCAACTTGATGTACGTTGATGCAGCTGGGATGCGAGGCTTCGGGATTATTTAGGCCTCTTTGCGACGAAGAGTGTTGGTTAGTTACTTCACGATATCATTGTGCTTCTTACAGCGAGCATCATGGCTTACACACAAAACTGCAGTACGTGAGAAAGTGTTTCACTTTGTCCGAAAGCTGTTGGGTTTGGGGGGTGGTCTTCCCCTGGAGCATAGTGATTTTGTCGACAGCACCCCTGCTTGTAGTTGAGTTTTTCTGATGTAGAGTCTGTGGAAAAATCTCTCGGGCTTTCTTATCCACTTGTGAGACGCTGGCTTCGTAATTACCCTCCGAAGCAAGGATCCGTCCACAGATTGTAGCAGTGTGTTCTTCCTTCACGTCACTTTTGTCGAAGACGACTTGATTCCCAATGATTGCGTGTTTCGTGGCAATGCGCTGGATGTTAGCCCCTGAAGGTTCTCGTACTGCCCAGTTGATAATTGGGTGGGCGAGTGAAAGACGTTCTAGGCGGTCCTTCCGAATCAATGGAATCATATTAGAAAGGCACTGAACCCCTAGGTCATAATCCTCAATTGATGCGTAAAAGAAAGCAACGCTGGTGTCCTTGGAGAGTTGTAGCCCTTTTCTTATACTTGCGCGGACCAGCCTATCCATCGATTTGAGGGTCTGCCGGTGCACCACAACCAATGAGAGGCAATGTGGATAACGCGTTCAAAGATAGGTGCGCAATTTGTCCACGCCCTGGTTGGGCTTGAGATGTTTCCCTTAGCTTTAATTTGACTTGGTCTAGTGAGTTCCACGCATGTTTACCCTTACAATCAAATGGTTTTCCAAGTAGTCGGAATTCCTCGGATGGCTTGATCGAAGGGATCTGGAGCTGCTCAGTGTTCAATATAGGCAATTTTTTCTTTTGCTGTCGACGGGGATATCCAGTGCCATTGATTTCATGTGGTTTATTGGCAATCTAAGGCGCTGTATATCCTCCCTACACTGACCTAGGCGTTCGATTAGGGATTCTGTCGCGAGCAAATAGTACGACATCATCTGCCTAAGTGATATGATCGATTGGATCTGCTGGGGAAATCCACTGTGTGTGTAATGCTTCCTCAAGGGCCATGCTGAACAGCAAGGGAGAAGGTGGACCTCCCTGACGGACACCAACCCCTGGGTAAATTCTCAGTCCGTTGCCGATTGAGATTCCGGAGGAGTAATAAGATATCAAGTAATGTACAAGAAAAGAGGGGCACCGGAAGTGGAGGCTGCGTGAGGCAGCGACGCGTGGTAGATGGAATGAAAGGTTTTTGAAATGTCAAGTGAAGCAATGAATAAAGGGATATTGTTCAAGTGTGAATATCTTAGGGTCGAGTGTAATATGGTGGGAGCTTCAAAGCAGCCATCTTTACGAAGAAAACCAAATTGATGATGGTCAGCTGGGAATGCATGAATCCCGCGAACAAACAAAATTTGTGAAGAAGACAGGTGAAGACTGAAGTTTCGGATATTGGGGGGAAGTTCTCAGGGCGGGAACGCTTGGCACTTTTCGTAACAAACGTTACACGGGCCACGTTCATGGGAGTAGGCTAAAGAAAACAAGCTAATTAGCAATTTAAAAAACAACGTGATGAATCTTGGATCCATCCGACTGGTGTCCTTTGTTGGAACATGGTCTACCCCGGGTGCAGATCCGTTCATTGCTCGCAGTGCAGAAGTTTTTTCCTCAATGGTTACAGGTTTTACGAGATTCCAGTTAATGTTGACACAATTATGCTGTACCCGGTTATCAGGTACAGGTGGTCGCGAGAGCACATCCTTCCAGAATTCATTGAAGGCCGGAATCACCACTCCATCTTGCATGAGTGCAGTCCTTCAACGACCATCGAGTACTGTTTCGGCAGCGTCTTTTCTTCGCAAATGCTAGAGACGTTGTATGTCGCCGTCGCTGACGGCTATTGGAGACTGTAAATGCCCGTTGTCTGCGCTTACTGCGCCGCCATGTGCGATGGTATATAGTTGAGCACACTCTTTCCATGGCGTTACTAAATGCTGCCCTATAGTGGCTCGTTTGCAGGTCTTCAGGTAGCTGCACGTTGTTCAGTTTGTGAGATACATTGGGCTAGTTTTCCTATCGCTTCCGTTAGATGTTGAAATGCAGCCTGGTAACCTGTTGTCTCTGTATCTAGGTGCCAGGTATCTGTAGCGGGTTTCCCTTCGTTTTTCGGCTTATGATTCATCCAAATCGATCATCAACGTGATTCCGTATGATGAGACTGAGGATAAAGATAGACGGGGCGTTGAAGGGACTGGCTGTGGCCAGTCTTTGTCGGGGTAATCTACGCTGTGTGTGCTGATATTCAGCGTGACAATAGAGTCGTCTTGATGGTCACTCGGATGGGGACCGCGCCACGTGAGGGGTGAAAGCGGACCTGTGGGGTTCAAATGGAGTGGTGGGTAGACCTCTTCAGCCAGGTTATAGTAAGGGGAACTTGGCGACTGAGTGTGAAGGAGGAATGGTGAGGGGCGCGCGTAATTGAAATAGCTGAGCAGTTATATAGGCGTTCCCTTGCTCCTGGGATGTCCCAACTGAGATATTGCAATCGCCTCTTAATGCAATCATTTGATCGACAGGGAAGTCGAATGTAGAGCTGACTGAGCATCTGTGGAAGATTGGGGACGAACGGTGCCAAATCCATGGCGCGGGGGCCAATAGTGTCGTTCTCTAGCACAGACCAGTTACACTAGTGGTTGTATAGCCGCGCAGTACCCTCTGCGTCGTAAGCATCCGGACGGGCTTGATGGCAGTGCTGATACAAACCACGCTTGCTTTTGTACCTTTTGCTGCATGTTGGACATTCGAACTCCGTCCAGTTGACGATGACAGTATCAGCCAAAAATCCCGTTACGTTGCGGCGGTGGTAAGCTAGGTGTTAACTTAAGCCTACGCTTGTGGAGAAAGGGTACGGGTATAAGTCACAGTAATGCAGTAGAATGTCGCCGGTCGTCAAGTCTGGTAAATTGTCCTCTTGCTGGATGACTGTTGGGGCGATGTAGTTGATGTTGCTATCGCGGTATGGGCCGATGCCTTTGGCTTCTGGGATGATACGCTTGGGTTATCCGGAGAAATAAGAGAATTATGTAATGAAATGGTGTGTAATGCGTGGTAGGCGAGCGATTCCGATGGCTGTGATAGACATCGGCACAGGCCGAGCCGTTCGTGATTGTTGAACGGGAGCCAGCAGGTCTGCTTTCCTGGCAATTCAGACAGGAGGCGTAAAGAGACCGTTTGAGACCTGCGCCGAGGGTCGTTCATAGGTCACGATCCGCTGCTGGAGTGACGGTTCGGATGGTAGCTCGGGTGAATGGGTTTCTACTCGCAAGTTACTGTGTCCTAGAGTAATGAAGGGGGGAGGAATTGTAATTGCAATCTGGCAAGTGATCAACCGAAAAAGAACGCGATGCAGAAGAGTCCTCAGCCGTTGATGGTGAGATGCCTGCTCTTCTGCGTG